GAGGCCTGCCAGCAAAACTTCGTCCCCTGGGCGCGCCGTGCGTGTGCCTGGCGCTCCAGCTGCTATCTTCGAGCAGCGCGACAAGGGCGTCTGGTTCCGGCTTGGCCGGCCGCGAGTGTGGTGAGTGCAACAAGCGCTGGTGGGGGCGGACACAAGGGGGGGAGAGGTGGCAAGAGGGGGCCCTCAGAGTCGGGCGTCGCATTTTTCCCCAAAACATCCTGCGGTGTTAGGTCCTCGTTCTGAATCAGCAGCGCCCCGCGTTACTCACTCCTCATTATTCCTCCTCCTTCTCCTCCTGCTCCTGCTCATGCTCCTGCTCCTGCTCCTGCTCCTGCTCCTCATCCTTTTCCTCCTCTTCCTCCTCCCTTCTCCCTCCTCCCTCCTCCTCCTCCTCCTCCTCCTCCTCCTCCTCCTCCTCCTCCTCCTCCTCCTCCTCTCTCATTTGTGCCTCTGCCCTTCCCGCACGAGTCGGCACACCCCTTACACGTTTCGTGGCCCCATTGGAAGCTCCACCGAAGGCCCTAACGGCGACGTTCGCTTGGGTCCGCGCCGCACATGTCGGCACACCCCTCACTCGGTTCGTGGCCCCGTAGGGAGCTCCACATAAGGCCCCAGTGGCGACGTTAGCGTTCGTCCACGCCACCCAGCGCGGCGCACCCATCATACGGTTCGTGACCGCACAGGGAGCGCCACCTAAGGCCCCAGTGGCGACGTTTGCATGTGTCCCCCCACCCATAACGGTGCACCACTCACACGGTCTGTAACCCGTATCGGGAATTTGCGGAAGGCCCCAATGACGCCCACCACTTTGTGGCCCCGCTAAAGGCCCCACCGAAAACGATCTTCAAAACTGCGGCACTCACAGCCGCACATGGTTGGACTCTTCGCCAGAATGATCTTCGCACGGGGGGGGTTCGCCGGATTTCGGGCCCCAGGGCCCTCCTCCTCCTATCTCCTCCGCCCTCCTCCTCCTCCTCCTCCTCCTCCGCCGCCGCCGCCTCCGCCGCCGCCTCCGCCTCCGCCCTCCTCCGCCGTGCGCCCTTGTCCTCCTCCCCCTACCTCCTCCTCCTCCTCCTCCTCCTCCTCCTCCTCCTCCTCCTCCTCCTCCTCCTCCTCCTCCTCCTCCTCCTCCTCCTCCTCCTCCTCCTCCTCCTCCTCCTCCTCCTCCTCCTCCTCCTCCTCCTCCTCCTCCTGCTCCTCCTCCGAGGGTCTAGCGTCTAGCGGGGGCCTGCGTTTTCATGGTTGTCATAAGGATGTGGCGTTGAAAACGAACCATCCTCCATCCTTGTAGGTGCTGTAAGTTTTTCACGCGAGCGTGCGCGGAGCTATCACGAAAATCCCCTCCTTTAAAAAGGTACCGCCCTGCATCATTCTAGCAGTCGCAGACGCTTGAAAAGAATGCACGCGAGAGCCCCATGTTGAAGAGGAACCGCAATCCGTCCTTGTAACTTTTTGCGAGCTCAAGCTTCACGATCATAATTGGTAAGGAAGGCGGATGCCCAGGAGGGAGAGAAGGAGGAGGAGACGCACCGAATGTGAGTCAGTCTGGCAGGATATATGGGGAGAGGGGGATGAGGACGAGGACGCGGAGGCAGGTAGGACCGAGGAGGAGGATAGGATAGGATAGGAGAGGACTCGGCCTTGCGCGTGTGCTGGGATGTTGGAGCTGACACGGTGTGACACACGTGCAACTACTCGACCTCAAACAATCGAACATCCGCTATCCCGAGGTTCAGGGTAACGATCGCCGTGCAGCATTCGTCGAGAGAGTCGACTCGGCTGTTTGCAATCATATATCGCTCGCGAGCTGGGGGGGGACACCCCTGGCCCCTGGAGGCCGACGCCCGATGGCACTGTGTGTGCCAGGCATGGCTTCCGAGGCATCCGCCCAGCCCCCCAAATCACAAGCTTACTGTACTCAATCCGTCTCTACCCCGACAGAGGCGCCCCCCCCCCACCCAAAGAGCACCCTCGACCATCCCCTGCCACTCGGGCCCCGAAGGCGAGGAGGAGGAGGAGGAGGAGAACGGGGAGTGAAGGTTGAATGAGGAGGCACAAGGGAGTGAGGAGGTGGATGAGGAGGCGGGGGAGCCAGGAGGCCGAGGAGGGGTGACGAGGCTGAGGAGGCGTCCGGAGTGAAGAGAGCAGTGTGAAGGCCCTCGCCTCGTGCTGTCCCTCGCTGGCCCGGCGAGCGCGCGTGCCGCCCCGACCCGATTGGCCTCGACCGGCGCGGCCCGGGCTTGTGCCGCGCCGAGCGGCGGCCAGGCGGCCAGCCGCGGCGCGGCGCTGCAGACTCCAGCCCGCCCCTCTCCTGCCCGGCCCTCGCCCCCCTCCCATGGCCGCGCTCGCCGCCCCCGCCGCACCGGCCGCCTCTCTCGCCCTGCGCCCTCCCCCCTCTCGCCACGGCTTCCTCCTCCTCCTCCTCCTCATCCTCCTCCACCCTATGATTCGTCTTCTTCTTCGGATTCTTCTTCTTATTATCAGTATTAGCATTAGTCTCGCTATTATTCTTCTCATTATTAGTAGTCCTCCTCCTCCTCCTCCTTTTCAACATGATCCCTTCCCTCGTTCTAATCGTCGTCCTCCTCCTCCTCCTCCTCCTCCTCGCTCCTCCTCCTCCTACTCCTCGCTCTCCCTCTCCTTCTACTCCTCCTGCTCCTCCTCGGTTCCCCGGCTGCCGCTCCTCCTCCTCCTCCTCCTCCTCCTCCTCCTCCTCCTCCTCCTAACTGTCCAACTCTTTTCAGTGGCCTACCTCCTCATCACCACGTGCGTCTGGCTCCTGGCGGCATGAGGTCCCTGCGGACGCCGCCTCCCCCCCTCTTCATCCACCACCACCACTTCCTCCTCCTCCTCCTCCTCCTCCTCCTCCTCCTCCCCTTCGTCCTCCTCCTCCTCCTCCTCCTCCCCCTTCGTCCTCCAGCTCAGTCCACCTCCTGCTCCATAGCATCCTCGTCCCTGTCCCCGCGCTCCTCCTTCTGCGGCTCCTCCTCCAGGACGTCCCTCCTGACTCTTGGCGCCGCGGGCGGGCTTCTCTGTAGGACTGCTGCCTCGAGACGCCCTTCTCCGCCTCCTCCTCCCTTCCCTCCTCGCGCATCTGCATGGCCCAATTCCGCTCGCTGCCTCGAGACGCCCCTCTCCGCCTCCTCCTCCCTTCCCTCCTCGCGCACCAGCATGGCTCGATTCCCCTCGAAGGGCAGCAGGCTCGTTCCACTGAGCCACCCGAGCCCTTCCCAGCAGTGGTGGAGGAAGAGCCCGCGGCATCAGCAGAAACTTGGAGGCCTTGAAGTTGACACCAACACCAACACAGGGGGCTGCCTCCACAGCAGGGGGAAGATGATCCTAGATTTCGGTCTTGGTGGTAATGTTTCGGTCACCTCGGAAGCCAGAATATCACCACCATCATCGAGATCGGGATCTTCTTCCCTCGGCGGAGGCACGCCGCCGATATTGGTGCTGGTGTCAACCTCGAGGCCTGCGGTAAACCTTCGACGTCTCGCGCGGAGCTCCCTGGCACCGCCGCCCAGTGGGCTCCGGCGCCGATCCAGGAGAGCCGCGCGGAGCTCCGAAACGGTATGCTTATGTGGTTCCTTCCGGAGGGCTCCAAAGTCGGGGGCGCGCAACCATGGATCGGGGGAGGTGCCCTCCCCGAAATGCGGCAAGTGCCGCCTCGTTCGGCGGCGGGAATCCGCGATTTCCCACGGAAACGGGACCCGCCGCTAATCCACGCCCCCTTGATCCATGTTTGCGATCACCTGAGTTTCTTCTGGAGGGTTCCAAAGGGGGTTTGGGGGGAGGAGGTTTTCTTGGAGGGGTCCCCCAGAGGCTTCGCACCCCCTGTTCTGACGAGGTTCCGAGGCCCCTGGGGGGCTCTCTGGAAAACCCCCTTCCCCAAGAACTCCCTTTGGAACCCTCCGGCTCTTGGTTTTCGAAGCAGCGTTAGGTCGGGCATGTCCCCCTACGGGTGGATTTTGGACAAGGAAAAAATAGTCCCAAAATGCCCCAACAAAAACCCAAACATGCTCCAATTATCCCAGTGCGACCCTACCTAGAAGTTGGAGCCCCTAGGGAAGCAGCATTAGTAGTAACAGTAAAGCTAAGCTAAAGCTAAGCTAAATCTAAGCTAAGGCTAAGATGAAGCTAAGCTAAAACTAAGCTAAGGCTAAGCTAACATTAAGCTACATCTAAGCTAAATCTAAGCTAAAGCTAAGCTGAAGCTAAGCTAAAGCTAAGCTAAAGCTAAGCCGAAGCTAAGCTGGAGCTAAGCTAAAGCTAAACAAAGGCTAAGCTAAAACTAAACTAAAGCTAAGCTAAAGCTAAGCTAAAGCTGAGCTAAAGCTGAGCTAAAGCTAAAGCTAAAGCTAAGCTAAAGCTAAGCTCAAGCTGAGCTAAAGCTGAGCTAAAGCTGAGCTAAAGCTAAGCTAAAGCTAAATATAAAGCTAAGCTAAAGCTGAGCTCAAGCTAAGCTAAAGCTAAGCTAAGCTAAGCTAACGCTAAGCTAAAGCCAAGCTAAAGCTAAGCTAAAGCTAAGCTAAAGCTAAGCTAAAGCTACAGCTAAAGCTAAAGCTAAATATAAAGCTAAAGCTAAAGCTCCCAAGGGACTGGGGGAACCGCGGGGCGGATGCCGGGGGAACCGCCCGGGGCGGATTCCACTGCCTGGCCCCTTTAAACTAGAAGGTAAGAACCCTTCTAGGCAGAGCCTAGGTAGGGAAAAATGGTCCCCTGGCTATTTTTTGACTATGTTTGAGCATTCCTCCTGTAGAGGGGACAGGCCCGACTTAAAAGCAGCGTCGGGGTGGCTGGAGACGGTACGTCAGGTTCGTGTCGTGCCGACTTCGGCGTTGGCTTCTGACACCGGGAGTATCCCTCAACATTGAACGATCGGCCGTTTCCGCAACGTCCAAACCGTTCCACATCGAACGATACTGCGTCACCCGCGGCGTTCCACGGTGAACGCCGCTGGCTGGGTCGCCGCCGGTCGACACGACACGAACCTACCGTATGTGGCTTCTTGGTCCTCGAGGCAGCGTTAGGGGTGGCCGGGGGCGGCATCTGCCCGGCGGGCGGCGGGGAAGGGAACAAGCGCCCACCGTCAGCTCCTCGGTCTCCGGCGAAGGATCGGCCCGACGCCACCTTGCGCCGCCGTGATCCGACTGGAGTAGGTCGGGCATGTCCCCCTACAGGCGGATTTTGGACGAAAAAATGAGAATTGGTCAAACAAATATCCAAATAGGTTCAAACAGATACGCAAAACATGCTCCCCAGAGTATTTGTGTGTACTATTTTTGAATATTCCTCCTGTGCACGTCGTTCATGTCTATTCGTGCTCATTTCTAATTGTGCTCAGTTCTAGATGTGCTAGTTTCTAATTGTTCCTGGCCCCTAGTGGCCAGGAAGAGGCGCATAATAGAACACTTAGAAATGACAGGATCTTGGCCCCCCAAAAAATAAAGAACGTCCGAATAAATAGAAATGAACAATGTGTAGAGGGACAGGCCCGACTTAAGACTGGAGGTCTGGGAAGGCCCCCAGGAGGCCCACGAGCGGACGAAGAGCTGCACGGAGGGTGCCGGGCGCCTCCTCGACCCCTCGAAGAGCACTCCTCGAGGGCGGGGCCTCGGAGACCCCTCGTCGATCCTCGGCCCTCGGCGCTCCTGGCCGTCGTCGTCCTCGTCGTCCTCGTCGTCCTGACCGTCGTCGTCCTCATCGTTGTCGTCGGCATTGTCGTCGTCGTCCTCGCGATCTTCGTCGTTGTCGCCGTCTTCGTCATCGTCGTCGTCGTCGTGGTCGTCTTCGTCTCCGTCGTTGTCGCGGCAGTCGTCGTCGACGTCGTCGTCGGCGTCGTCGTTGTTGGTGTCGCCGCAGCCGCCGTCGTCGTCGTCGTCGTCGTCGTCGTCAGCCGCCGTCGTCGTCGTCGTCGTCGTCGTCGTCGTCGTCGTCGTCGTCGTCGTCGCCCGTGTCGTCGTCGTCGTCGTTTTTGTTTTCGTCATCGTCGTCGTTGTCGTCTTAGTCGTATTCGCCGTCGTCGTGGTCGTTCTCGTCGTCGTCGTCGTCGTCGTTCTCGTCGTCGTCGTTTTCGTCGTCGTCTCCGTCGTCGTCGTGGTCCCCATCGTCCTCGTCAGGGTCGTCGTCTTCGTCGTCGTCGTCTTCGTCCTCGTCGTCGTTTTCGTCGTCGTCCTGGTCGTCCTTGTCGTCGTCGTCGTCGGTGTCGTCGCCCTCGTAGCCGTCGTCGTCGTCGTCGTCGTCTTCTTCGTCGTCCTCGTCGTTGTCGTCGTCGTCGTCATCGCCGCCACCGTCGTCGTCGTCATCGTCGTCGTCGTTGTCGTCTTCGTCGTCGTCGACCTCGTCGTCATCGGCCTCGTCGTCATCCTCGACGTCGTCTTCGTCTTCGTCCTCGCCGTCCTCGTCCTCGTCCTCGTCCTCGTCGTCGTCCTTGTCGTTGTCGTCATCTTCGTTGTCGTCTTTTTTAGTCGACCTGTCAAACGAAACCTCCTCCTGTCAGGCTCTGACTGCGAGTGAGCGGCGGTAAGATGACACGTTTATCTCGCCGAAGGCGCGTCAGCTACTAAAGGTGCCTGTAAGCCAAAAGATGATGACACAAATATACAACAGAGCATGACACATGCACAAGCAAAGAATAGAATAACAAAGAGGTTTAATCTCATAGGGACACACTGAATTCACACAGTGGACCCCATGTTAGTGATATTAAAACCGGAAGAAACTGCCATCAATGGGCCTCGGCGCTAAACAGAACTGCGCTGGAAGGATGGGAAACAAAACTCGTGACATAGAGCTGCACACATTACTGATGCCATAGCAAGGTCTTAAAACTGAATGCTTAAGGCGTGAGCCCTAGCATAAGATGCGAGTCATGCATAATACTGAGGTGGACTATACCTCCCGAAAGTTCAGCCGCTTCAAAAGCTCAGGAACCCTTTCCAACACCGACCAAGAAAGAGAAAGAGAGAGAGAGAGAGAGAAAGAAAGAAAGCAGAGAGAGCAGCCGGGGCAGGAACCACGGCGGGGGGCGGCGCGGGCGGAGACAGCAAAAGAGAGAGAAAGAAAGAGACGTTTCGGCACGTGAATCCGTATGTCGAGTCGATCTTTACCGTTCTAGCCCTAGACCTCCTGCTCCTCTTCCTCCTCCTCCACATTCTTCTGAGTTCGACTCAGATACTTGCTGGAATACGCTTTGCTCCTATTCCGAGACGATGGTAGATCCTTTCGCTCCTGCAAGCTATCTGCCTCGGCCACAAGACGCAATAGGCCGGTCTTCAACATCCTGAACTCCGAAGCGTTTCCCTTCGACACATCTGACTTCGTCATAATATCGACGGTCATGGCTGGATGTGGGACCCAGCGAATGCTGCTACCTATCCTCTCCATCACTTCTCTGATAACTGCAAGGTCCACTGCTATTCTGCGATCTGCTTTCGATCCCGAGGTCATCTTATCTAGAGTATCAAAGATTCCTTTGGCGTCAACGATGGACACATTCTTCAAAGGGGACACGTTCAACTCGCTATCCTGCCGGAGGACGGTCGTGAAGGGACCCACATGATCCCTCCATGTGTTCGTCAACAGGCCCCCTTGAGTCACCTCCAAGAAAAGCATCTGAAGCCATTCCGCTTCCCCCAAAGCGGCACTCAAGGAAATGACTTCTCCTCCGAGGGTGGACGGCACCTGTCTTCTGAGGCGGGAGGACCGCCAAGCTAGAGGAGTCACACGAGAGAGGCGGCCGGTGGAGAGACTCTGATCAGCGGCATGCACTTGCCATGCTTGTTGAGCATGTCCTGGCCGGGCAGCGCCGATTCCACCCGCATCTGAGGCCGTGCCAAAGATCATCTGACCCTTCTTGAATCTCCACACCGTTATTGGAATCGAGGCAATACTTCGCAACATGTCCACTGCCTTGTTGGCCTCGAGGGCGTCGCCCACTGTGGGATTGTTGACCCGGGACGCAAGTATAGATGCCGCGCCTGATACTTCAGCTCTGGACTCACGGCCAATCCAATTTAATTTATAAATCAAGGACCTGAAATTAACGCACTCCGTGCCAAGCAATGGCTGGTTGTGATCGCTTCTTCGACGACGAGGGATGTCCAGACGAGTAATCGATTCCAGAATGTACTTTTCCTGGTCGACTAGAGCGCGGTCGGATAATAATCTAATGCGTCGTCCAATGTACTCAACTCCATTTTCGTCGATCCGCTCAAGCTTGCCGAAGTTAAAACGAGAACGAAAACGATCTATGCGTTTCTTAGCTATAGAAGGATGCAAGGCCATGATCCAGTCGTCTACTTCTACAAGTACTTGGCTTAATAGTTCGTTGTCCTTCGTCCTCTCATAAAACCAACAGGGCTCTAGCCGACTCTTGCCATATCCTAGCTCCTTCTGGAAGAACTCTGAGGTAGTGGTATGTAGCGCTAACGGAGCATCGTCCAATCCGTAGACCGGTGCTAGTAATTCTATTAATGAACCTGTCGGCAGATCCAAGCCTTCACAGGGTTCTACAAATACTCTTCCACGAGAACGCGACAATTTATTACTCTGACAGAACGCGTTCTTGAGGTCGCCCACGTAGAGCTCTAAACCGTACATCAAACTTATAGTAATGAATAACATCAAAGCTTCCATCTGAGGTGTCGGTGCATACACGCTGAGCTCAGCAGTGTCTTCGTCTTCATGTCCCCGAACGCACCAACGGCTCTTGGCCTTGGGCCTAGAGTGGACTCCAGGCTGGGGCTTCCACCGGCGAACCATTCTAGAAGAGACCACTCTGTTGGGAAACAGACGTCTTAGCTCATGGCCCATGGAAGGAGGATGAACCTTGACAGCACCAGAGCTCGTCATTGCCTTCCACTCAAGACTGTCGGAAGCCCTAAACTCCTCTCGCTCTTCTTCGGTCATTCTCCCAAGATGTGCCTCTTGTCCCTTGTTGGTGGCCAAGCTTAGGCCGTATCCAGAACCTCCAGGAAAAACCTCCACAAACATGTCCGCGTTCCCGTTGAGATATGTCTGCCAGTCTCCACTCCACCCACAGACCTTCAGATGAGAATCAAGGCTCTTCTCGACGTAGTCGGCTCGCTCGTTCCACGAGCCGGGGTCCTCACAGCGATCCTGAAACAGACATAGAGCATCCGGGATCTCCTCGTCGAGGTCCTCATAGAGAACCCAGGTCTCGGCCCCAGGGCCGTCTCGTTGCTCGGGACTCCGGGACCGGGGGGCCTCTCGTTCCTGAATCTGCTGCTGAACTCTACCGTAAGGGATCCCGCCGAAATCCTCTCCCCGGGTGGGCAGCCGTCGGGCCCGAGGGCCCAGGTCTAACATTCGGTTCCTGCGAACCGCCTCGGCTGCGGCACTAGACACGGCCCGCTGAAACTCTTCCTCGGTTCCCCCTGGCAGGGGAGTGGGAAGAGGAGACGGGCGAGGCTCCAGGGGCGGTCCCGAACCAGAGGAAACCTCCGGCCCGACTGGGCCTTCAATTCTTGGCTCAACTTGTCGCTCCTGGCCCAACTCCGACCTCGACCCAGAATCGCTCCCGGAGAGCTGCCGTTTAGTCCCTCGGACATCGTCGGACGAAGAATTTTCCACGGACCCAGGGCCCCGAACTTGGCTCCTAGGTGAAGCCGTGGAATCGACAGGCGTCCCAGGCACCGGCACCCCCGAGGCAGCTCCAGGTCGCTCCTGATCCAGAGGCCCTAGGAAACGATCCAGAGGGGCCTCCGCAGGAGGCGGAGAGGAAAGGTGGGGAACGGCCCTGCGTGAGGTTGCGGCACCCGATGGAGTACTTGCTCCACCTGAAGGGGTACTTTGTGTCCCTGTGTCTCCTGCGGGCGCGTCGGAGCGAGCAGGAGGAAGAGACTGCATGCCCTCGAGTCTGGTGGACGCTGGAACTGGATCGGACCAAGCCTCTGCAGGAGGATCGCCTTCGGACTCCACGTCAACTCCGGCTCGTTGATGTCCCGATCTCACCTCTCGAATGAGCTCTTTCACAGCAGGATCGAATAAGATTTCAGCACCTCTTGCTTCTGGATTCGTTGCAGCACGAACTTGACTAGGGGAACACTTCCACAGACGAGTTCTCATTGCCACCCATACAGTGTTTTGAGAATGCATGATCACAATAC